CCCGCCTCTCGGGGTGCGGGGGAAACCCCATGGCTGCAGCTCAGAGGCAGCCAGCCTCATGTTCTCTTTGTTGTCCCCCTTTTTCTGGAGGACTGAGCCCAGATACAAGTAGGTGAAAGGTTCCGTTACAAAAGCCATACCTTTTCTCGGGCCAAAGTGGGAATTTCCTTCTCCGTCAGGTGGTAATTCACTGTATCAGCAACCCTTAAAGCTTTGAAATACTTTCAAGGCAGAATTCAGAGCTTGGAACAGCTTGGGACAAATCCAAGCAAAGCAAACTAAATGGGTTCAAACATACTCAAATTTGTTTCACCAAAGAGGGTCTGTTTTTGCTAGAGGAATTCTGCCATGCTCAGCCCTGGGACTCCACATACCCACCCTGCAAAGGGCCTGCTTCCTGCCCTGCAGGTAATAAGCACTGGAGACAAAGATGTCATGAAGCTTTTTGCTTTTCTCCTTGATGGAGAGGTTTGTAGATGTGGCATTAAGCTGTTTACCTCCTGGAGGACTGACTTGTGTGGATCGCTGGGATGTGGGGTTGTTTGTCAGGCAGGCCATGACCTTGAAGGACATTATTTCAAAAGGAGTGAGGCCAATAGTGGGAAGCTGCTCTGCTTTGGAGGGTGTCTGGGGGAAGACGTAAATGCAGACCATAGCGTGGAAAGGCAAGAAAACTAGAGTTTGGGTCATTAAGAGAACTGTGGCTCCTTTCACGCCGGGTTCGGGGAGAGTAGGGGACTTTGGACTTCTCCAAAGTCCAGCAGAAATTGAAACACATTAGTGGAGCAGTTATACAGGGCTACAGCAGGCAGAGTAATTTTCCTTAGCCCTGCAGGCTTCTCCTGAACCCCACTGAGGTAGCAGCAGGCAGTGTCTCTGAGCATTCCTGGAAGCACTGCACGAGGAGGCACGGTGACCTGCCCCTAGTCACAGCAGAAATTAGCCAGCAGCAGTCTGTCTCCAGAATTCGTTTTCCCCTCACTGCAGTGCAGCTGTCTCCGAGGGGGCCCAGCAGTTCCTGCCGAGTGCCCAGCGCTGTGATATGACATCTCCACGCAGGAAGGCAAAATGCAGTTACTTCTTTGGGAGTATAGCCAGGATGTTGGGGCTCAAAATCCTGCTCTTCAGTGCCAGGAGTCCTGTCAGGACCTTAAGAAGTTGGTGGCGAGGCGTTGCGCCGTTGCATTAAATTGTTCCTTCTTTGAGATCAGCGGAAAATTGCTTCCTGTGATTTTCCCTTTTGTCACTGTCAAGAGTCCAGGCACAGCTTTGGATTTACACGTATTGGAAAGCTGATGCCTCCTTGGATGCAACTGGTCTGCTTTAAGGCAGGAGGTATATAAGAAGGCTAAGAGATGGCTGCAACAAAGAGAAGAAACGGGGTCAGAGCCATAAATAAAGCAGCGGGAGGTGAATGAGAGGCGGTGTATCTTATTGGTGAGCACAAGGTGTCTCCCAGTTCTGGTGCTAGTATGGATATGTTCCTGCTTTTCTCCAAGCCTCTGTTCTTTGTGCAAAACAGGGATGATGTAACCCGTTTCACTAAAGCTTCAAAAATGCTGAGTACGTATGAGAGAGGGAGAAGGAAGAGGGGTACCCTGAACTGATAAATCAGACCCCCTCACATCTTCCCATCTTTCCCTGCAGAGCTTTGACGATGGCGATTCTCGCTTGGACTCCACTGAATTCCTGAAATTTGTGGAGCAGAATGAGACTGCTGTCAACATCACCACCTACATGGACCAGGAGACCAACAAGCTGCTCAGGTGGGCAGTGGATGGGATGCCAGAAGGAGGGCCAGAGAGGCAGATGTGGTAGAAGGGGACATGAAAATAGATTCACAGAAAATATCAGTTAGGGTTTGCACTAACAAAGGTAACTATGTGTGAAGCGGCTTCTCACTTAATTACGTGTGAATGCCACCAAAAGGAGCAGTCCCACCCCTACCCTTCACGTTAGGCATGTACTCCATCTCCCTTTTGCCTTAAATCTAGTAGGTATGCAGCCAGAAGGTGAGTTGGGTGGCAGAAAATGTGTTATCTTTTTTATTTCCTAACAAATCAGCTTTCCAGTGGACTTTACTCACTTTTTGCCTGGTAACGAGATCCAGTGCAAGGAAGATGGTGGGAAATGACAGCTCATGGGCACCCTGCAGTTAGAGCTGGTGCAAGCACCGTCTGAAAATGTAGTTTTTGAGAAGTTTCCCTTTTTCCGTGTGTGTGCCACTGTGTGTGAAGCAATGAGGAGAACAGGCTGCTTGTGCTTCCATCTGTACTTGTGTGACA